TTCTGGACATGATCTTTGGCTCTTTTTCACATCCACTTACTCTTTCATTGTGTTCTCTATATGTATTTTGTCTTGTCATACTTATTTTCTCTTTCAGATTGTTTTTATTATTTCTAGTCCTTGGGGTATAATTTTTCTCATTTGATGTTCCCCCCATTCTCTCCCCTCCTTCTTCTCTCTCTGTGATTCTTTCTCCCAGTGATTTGTTGTTGTTACTGTTCTAATGCAACCTCATCTTCCGTGGGGATAATATTTTTTCTGTAGGAGTCCCATGGTCCCCAGGGATGTGGACTCCGTTTGCTTTTGCTTCCATCGCCTGTGGTCCTAGAGAATCCACGAATCTCACCTTTTACCAGTTTTTAGATTAATGTAATTTCTTGACCCAGGAATCTAGTACCACACTGACAGGGCAAATTTGGACCCGGTACCTACTTGTAGCAGTGGTCCCGCCATTGCCCCCCTTCGGATCTCTGGGCAAACTACATACAAGCCTTACTAAACGGGTGGACGGAGCTTTTCATGAAGTGGCAGCCTGTGGTGGGGCCTCATTCGAGACTGGTTTTTCATTCCTTGTGCCTTTTGGGGGCTGAAGGCTACCTGCCTTCTTGCATCCACCACAGTGGTCCTAAAACCCCAGCCTCTAGGGACTCTGTCCTGGTTGATCCCAAACACTGCCACACTACCACCTTGGCTTTTCATTTTTGGCATCTCAAGTAATGCAAAGGCTGCATAGTGACAGGATGACACCCAGGTCTCCTGAGCCCTACCAGGCTTAGGCTCAAAAGTGAGTCCTGGCAGCCAAGCAGAATTGCTGGAAGACAGCCCGAGGGCTGGGCTCTGGAGTTTACTGTGTGAGCCTCTCCCTGACCGCCTGCTTCTCACACCGTCACACTCTTGCGTCAGCGTAGTGTATGGAAAAATTCTGATTTCGGGGGAAAGAGAGTTTAAATTCCAGTTTGTTTACTTACTAACAAGGCAACCTTATATACGTTACTTGTCACTCTTCTTTTTTTTTTTTAAGATTTTATTTTTCACTTTTTCTCCCAAACCCCCTGGTACATAGTTGTGTATTTTTAGCTGGGGATCCCTCCAGTTGTGGCTTGTGGGACGCCGCCCCAGCATGGCCCGATGAGCAGTACCATGTCTGTGCCCAGGACTTGACCTGGCGAAATCCTGGGCCGCCAAAGCAGAGCGCGCAAACTCAACCACTCGGCCACAGGGCCGGCCCCAACTTCGCTGAGTCTTAATTTCTTCATCTGTAAAATGAGATAATATTACTGGCCCCATACATTTGTTGTGAGGATAAATTATGATGATGATAACGTTAATAACTGCCTTTTATGAGTGTCTCCTGTGTGTACTTGAGGGGGGTGTTTTATAGATACGTTTTATTTTATCCCATCCAACTCCAAAGCCCATGTTCCACTGTGTCATTCTGCCTAAGTTCAACGTCTAGGAAAGGCCTGGCTCACCGAACGGTAATCATTCTCAGTGGTCGTGGTGCCCTCCCTGTGGCTCTCAGAGCATGGCCTCAGCCTCTCTGAGACAGGCTCTTGAGCAAGCAGCACTCATGAATAGGAGCCAGGAGAGGGAGAAGGCTGGGGTCCATGCCAGTTCCTTTTCCGCCTGTGAGCTGCCAGATGGTTACCGCCCTCCCTCTACACAAGGGCTGGCTGGCTCTCTCTTGCAAGGCAACATCCTGGAGCTCAGGAATGCTGGGTACCAGAGCCGTAGAAATGAAAACCACATATTGTCCCCTGCCTTGCTGGCCATGTTAGCCCTCAAAACAGATAGCCGCCAAGGTCGCCTTCACTGCCTGTGCAGTGCTTAAGACATCTGTACAGAGCTGCCCTTCGAGAGAGCAAAGGGGGGGATGGCCTGATTCTCCACGATCCTTCCATCTCCCCTATGTTTTTCATCATGCTAAAAATTCCATTAATAACCTTGAGTTCAGATTTATGTTAAAATGCAACTACACCTTGGAGGGGAAACATTTTAAGCCCTTATCAGTCTTTTACATATTTGTGTGGTGTATTTCTGTCTTTTTCATGAGAGCAAACTCAATGAGATGGTTAGAAGAGACAAAGACCCGTCCTCACCAGGCCTGAATTCTGTGGTCAGTCATTGGAGGCAGTTTCTTGCTTATACTCTTTATGTTACTAATAGTAATAATTTGTCTACATTTGAAAATTCCTACATTTTCTTTTGGAGAAAAGGCATTGGTTACCTTGGCCACTTACTTAGATTGGAAAGATAAAAATTTGAACCTTATTCAAGACCCTGGAAAAGTAAATTTCTCCTAAGGTGAATGATAACAACAGTCACCATGATAGAGGCAAACATTGTATAGTGCTTGCTGTGTGACAGACATCTAGGCCCTTTCCATATGCCAATGCATTTATCCTCACAATGTTTCCTAGAGTAGGTGATATTATTATCCCCATCTTATATATTTATAAACTCAGGCCCATCAGGGTTAAATAACTTGTCCAAGGTCACACACAGCCAGTCAGTGGTGGAGCCACAAAGAACCCAGGCGGCCTGACTCCAAACCCACACTCTTGACCAGGCTATGTGGCCTCTCAGCTGACTGCTCCTTTGCCCGTGTTTGGACCAGACTCACTGTTAGCCAGCTCTCTGCGATAGCTATCCACTGGGTGAACATCATTAGCCAAAGACATGATTCTTCCAGTTTTCTGTTTATGATCACTGATTCGATTCCTATTTTGCAAGTAAATGCATGCAGAATACCCAGTATCAGTCTTTCAGGTGTAAGAGTGAAGATGATTTTTGTAAATTTAAGTTTAAAATAGGATTCTCTTTGCTTATCTAGACTATTTTTAAGTAATTAATATTCTGAGCACAACTTTGAAAGACTATTTCCAAAAAGATACCTTTATTAAAGAAAATTTGGTCTACTAATATATACTATGTATACGCACACACATATCTATGCACATATACATCCAGAAGCAGAGAGAATACTATGTTCTTTAATCATTTCAAGAAAAATAAACTATTGGCATTGAAAGGAAATAGCTAAATAGCTATGATGAACTTTTTTTTCTTTTTTTTTTAAAGATTGGCACCTGAGCTAACAACTGTTGCCAATTTTCTTCTTCTTTTTTTCTTTTCCTGCTTTTTTCTCCCCAAATCCCCCGAGCACATAGTTGTGTATTTTTAGTTGTGGCTCCTTCTAGTTGTGGCACGTGGGACGCCACCTCAGCATGGCCTGATGAGTGGTGCCATGTCCGCGCCCAGGATCTGAACCAGCGAAACCCTGGGCCGCGGGAAGTGGAGCCTGCAAACTTAACCACTCAGCCACAGGGCTGGCCCCATAGATGAACTTCTTAAAGGATATTTCCAGTTTTTTGTTTAACTGAAATTTTGTGAGGAGGCCCTTGGGCAGCGTTTGAGGCCCCTCTGCTGAGAATTGCCTGGAACCTCACTCCTTTTGCCAGCGAGCTGAGGTGGCCTAACAGAAGTTTACTGTGGGGGTGGAGGGGGGGGGGCGTTGCAATTGTCCTTTTCAGGTGGAACTGTTTGTGTTGTTTGTATTATTGTACATCTTATGTTACAAATCCTTCCCCAAGCTGCACTTAGCTCATGTTACTCGCCGACATTTGAATAATTGGTTTAGCGTGAGACTGATTTCTGGGAATGATTCATTGCTATTTACTTGCTATGATTTAGTGACAATGTTGAATTTACCCACTGGAAAATTCCAACAGGAAACTTAAAGTCATTTCCATGGCAGAATTGGGGGCAAGAGGGGCATTGGAGTTGCATTCTCATCTTTTTAATCCCCAACAGTCAATGCATGAAATGAAACAAGAGGGAACCAATGTGAGGAACATAACTGAGATGAGAAATACAGTTTCAAATGTTTTCTGAAGCAGATCACGCCCTCCTCCTCTTTGTGGCAAGGAATCACTTTGGTCTGCACCTGCAGCTCAAGAACGGACAGCCCGGGGGCTGGGGGTGCGGAGGAGGAGAGCTGGGGAAGTCTGAGCAGGGAGGTGGGTGGGGGGGTGTTGACAGGAGAAATCCAACTGGCAGGCCTCTGGCGCAGAGATGGGGAGGGCGTCTCCCTTGCCTGATGGAATTTCAACCCTGGCAACTTTCAACTACATCCTCTTCCCTCCCCCAACCAAAAACAAAACAAACCAAAAATATCACAGTGCTTCAGTGCAGAGAGGGGCAGTACCAGCTGATTTTTAAAATGCGGATGAGCAGTGGTACACCCTCCGCCCCCTGACTGAGGGCCTGCCTCGGTTTCTCGAAGTGCCAGGAAGCCCCCACAGGAGCGCTAGTAGAGGCCCAGGAATGCCTGAGGCTCCGAGTTGGGAGCCCTGGCCCGAGTTGGGAGCCCTGGCCCGAGGCTGGTGCCCCGCCCTTAATTTAGTCAGATTTAGAGTTTTGCTGCTCCCCAGTGGGGGCCCCTGGGGAATGTGATCCAAAAGGGGTGAGTGGATGTCTCATTCACCATTTTCAGGGGAGAGAGAAATCGTTCCTATCTGTATTCTCTTTCAGATGGTTTTTAATCTTGAAAAATCATTTCTAGCAGTTTTAGAAGAAAGCATTAGTATAGCATTGGTAAATACGCATAAGATAGAAAACGTTTTTTTCCATGTACACATAGGATTCAAGGAATTTTTAGTATATTGACCTTATTAAGTCAAATTGTTTTGAAATTTTAAGTCAAAACTGTGATTAACATTTTCATGTAAGTTAGTTGATATTTTATTCTCTTTTAAGTGTTACTCTCTTTTAGTAGTTTCTATAAACAGTTCAGCTTGACCTTATTAGAAAATCAAATGCTGATACACTTTCAGTCTTACTCATTTAAGCTACATTTATTAAATTGGGATTTGTTGGACTTCTGTGTACACTGTTTATTAATTTTATTTAAATTTGTAAAAGAGAAAAAACAGAAAGTTCGTCTTTTACGATGAGATGAATAAATTCAAACTAAGGTTGATGCTTCCATGTTTCTGCAGCGGAGACTGACGCAGCTGTTGGTCACTAGGAGAGTGGCCTCAGGAAGACCCTGAGCAGTGGCTCGGGGGTGCTGCCTCTGCAACCCCGTCATCCTAAACTTCCGGTGCTCCTGCCTGACCTTTGCCTCAGAGTTGTCCACGCTGCTCACCTCCCTCATCTGCAAAGTGGGTCCCCGGTCTCCCCGGCAGGGCTGCTGGGAGAGTTACCCGACTGACTGCGTGTCAGGCCCAGGCACACACGGGCCGTCCGTGTCCATGTGTAGTACGGCAGGCTTTCCAGGCCCAGGCACACATGGGCCATCCGTGTCCATGTGTAGTACTGCAGGCTTTCTAGCCATTTCGAATTCGTGCAAAAGCCCAGAAACACCAGTTTTACTTTTATGAAATTACATGTTCATAGCTTGAGTTATACCCATGTTCGTGTTGTACATCATTATTTCTGATTCAAAACATTAGCTTCAAAGTACTGATCTTGAAAAACTGAAGTTTCCTGCAGAATATTATACTAATTTCAGGGTTGCTTTTGATGTGTTATTGTGCCAGTCCACAACCTTGGAAATTCTTGGTTAGTGCAATGTTTCATGCTCTGACAATTATCTTTAAGATGTTGTTTTTAGGTTGCCAGGTGTTAATTTAAACACACACTGGTCTGTGTGCTTGCGCGTGCACGCATGCCTACACACTCAAAACAGAGTGCCAGGAGCTGTAATTTAAAGTGGAATTGATAGAGCAGTATGTAATGTTTTATATTTAGGGCAAGCTCCTGATGTACAGCTTCATGTGACATCTCGTTTTTTAAAAGCCTAAGGCATCAGTAATCTTTATAGCAAGAATTCTGGTGCTGTGTTATGCATTCCAGGCTTACCTTCTATTCTGCCCGGTAAATATATGGCTTTTATGGACTTATAAATCATGACAGTAGGATTCATACATATCCAAAAAAGAAGAGATTTAAATCTTTACCGAGTTACCAAGATTTAATGTAATTTAGACATTATTCTTGCTTAGAAGTAACATTCTTATCTAAAGGCAGTATATTTCATATCTTTGAAGGTAACTTTAAAAACATATTGCCAGAGAAACAAATATTTATTAAGAGTGTACTGTGTGCCAAGCATTATGCTAAGTGCTGGAGAGAAGGATGTGAAAGAGATGGTCCTGGCCCTTAAGTAACTCAAAGCCTAGGGAAAGATGCTAAAAAGTAATAGGTTAGGTGCTATCGGAAAGCTGTGATTTTATGATAGAGGTAAGAAGGAGTACTGTGTGGCGGGGGACGGAGTGGGGCAGGGCGAGAACTCCCCACTCTTCACATGGCTCTGAAACCTGAAGGAAAGGCTTCCAGAGGGGGTTGACGCTGCGCGAACTTTCAGGATGAGTAGTATTTAACAATGTCGTCAGCAGAGGCCAGGTTCACCTAACTGTCTATAAATTTGTCCTCCTCCTTTCCTCCCTTGCTTCCTAAAGCTCTAGTTTTGGGGGGAGCTGGGAGCTAAGGAAACCAAAAGAGTATACAGAACAGTTGGTGGTGTCCGTGGCTTGCTTCTCTTTCTCTCTCTCATTTACATACAGCAAAATGTGCAGATTTTTAATGAATGGTTCTATAACTTTTGACAAATGTATACACCTGTGTAACTGTCGCCCCAGTCGAGATATATAGAACATTTTCATCACCTCAGAAAGTTCCAGCATGTTGAGGCTGGCTTTTTTCTGCCAGTGCAGCACTGTGCACGGGAATAATGGCCCTAAGTAAGGAATGAGGAACCAGGTAGAATCTTGGATGGCCGCCTTTTCCTGTGGTGGAGACAGACATCCATAGTCCTTTGTTTAGACTTCCCTGGAACAGTCACCCATGTCCTGGTGGTCCTGGCTCATGCTGTGGCCTGGGTCAGGGTCCTTAAAGGAGTGAGTCTTTCCCGTCTACAGATGACATTCCTGAACCCTCATCATGTGCTTTTAGTCAGGTTTCCTGCAGGCCAGATGCCTCTGTGATGTCTTCATTGACATAGACTACTCTTGTGGTCTATCAAGCGTATGTGGGATTTATTCAGGTAACAGGGATTATTGTTCTACATTATTCTCTTTAGCTTACCGAGCATTTATTGAGTGTCCACCATGTGCCAGACTCTCTATTAAGCTCTGGGGTTCAAAACTTGAGTCAGATGCAATCCCTTATTCTCGAGTAGCTTCTGATCTACTGTGGGATGCGGGTGGTTAAGCAGAGAGCTACAGTGTGGTTGAGCAGAGCTGGGAAGGGGAGGAGGCACTAAGGCTTCTCTCGAGACTTAGGGTCTCAGCAGGAGCTTCCTGGGAACAACAGCAAGAATAGTTGTCACTTACTGAGCGCCTGCCAGGTGCTGGCGCGGCTCTAAGTGCTTACCTGTTAACTCGTTTAATCCTCTTAATGTTATTTTCCCCATTTTGTATATGAGGAAACTGAGCAGCAGAGAAGTTAAGTGCCCAAGACCATACAGCTGTTAAATGACACGAGCAAGGAATAAACTTTATTTTCAGCCACTTGGGGATTTCTTCCAAGTTGTTTGTTACTGCAGCGTAAACTAGCCTGTCCTAACTGATAAGGTCATCGGTGTGAGAGTGATTGGAGAAGAGCCAGGTATATGCTGGCTACCCAAGTCTGGAGTGGGAGGAGGTAGAGGTCCGAGCAGCGGTGTGGTGGTAAGACGAGAAGTAAGGGGACAGATTTGAGACAGAGAATCTGAGCAAGATAGGAACACACAAGAGGACATTTTTCTTTTGGGGGGCCTGTTATACCTGATTATTGTTATCCTTTTGGGAAAGAAGTTAGCTTTTCATTGTGCTTTATAATTTCAAGGACTACCTCTGTATTTTAGTGTATTTATATTGGGGATTTTGAGCAGAGATTAAAATACCATCTAAAATACTACGAGACTATAAACTCCATACTTTTTTGCTGCTAGCACAGTATATTGCCCAAGGGGAGTGCTCTGTGCATTTTTAGGGATGAACAAATGAATACTCTTAAATATAATTATTTTTTTACCGTTAAACTTCTCTAAGCTCTTATTTAATACTACGTGTGCTTATTTTTCATTTCCCTCTAATCTTTCTAGGAAGACTAGGGGCAAAAATTATAATTGATAAAATTGTAATACAGTATAATAGATATAAATTCCCTTAAAAAGATGAAAATTAAACGTAATGTAGTTTTGTAATACATTTATGCTAGAAATTAGCTATTTTCCTTTTTTTGAAACTTCTGAATCCAGTGAATAGAACATTTTATACAATCCTTTGCTCTTTATTTTTTTATCGTACACCTCTTCCCTGCTTTTGTCTAGTCATTATTAGTAATTACATAAAAATCTGTTTTAAGCTACACCCCAGGGAATAGCAAGAGTTAGTTGCTTGTCTAAATGGTCTTTAATTAAAGTCAAACAAAAATTAGGCTATCGTGATGGAAATATTTTTAAAATGTTGGCTAAAACAGAAGAGGCTGATTTAAGTGCAATCAAGTTGAAACTATTTGTACTTAAATGGATTAAAGTATAATCTGGCTTTTTTAAAAAACCACATCTGTCTGGGATGTCGTAGGTGTGGTCCTAATTTTAAGCAGATGAATGGACCAGATAAGCCTTTAAGAGTCTTCTGACTTCCAGGTTTTTCTGATTTTTAAAAAACTTTTTATTTAAAAATAGGTTTTGACTTCACTGTATGGTTTAAGTGAGCTGAACAACAAAAATTCATCATGAAAGATAATATTATGCTCATAATAATTAAAAAGTGAAAGGCTTGAAATTCTAGGTAGAAAGTGAATCAGTCTTTTCCGTCTGTGCTGGCTCTCGTCCTGCTCTTTCTGAGGCTGCTGCATGGTAATTGTTCCTCCTTTCATGTCTCCCCCATGAATCCATCTTTCTCTCTTGCCGGGCGGGTACCTGAGCTTACTTTCCTGTGTGTGTGCATGGCCTAGCAGTGGGCTGACCCAGGGTAGACACTCAGATACTCGTGAATGCTTCCCCCTGCTAGAGGGAAGGGATGGCTGTTTCTTGTTCATCTTTGTAATAAGGAAAGATAACACATAAAGTAGATTATTTCGGTCAGAAGTAAATAACAGTAGAATTCTTTCGACTGTTGTATTTTCTTTGCTTAATATTGCTGATTATACAGACATAAATACATACATACACATATACACTTTGAATGTGACATCTTTGAATGTGTCTCTACAGTATACTTATTCTTTAAATAAAATAGTATTCTCACCCTGATTGGCTCAATTCTTATTAAACGTGCACTCTTGAACTTGTTGGGCCTTCCTAGATAACCCTCAGACTTGGTCTGATCAAGACTCTTCCTTATAGTTGCTCTCAAGCTGGCTGAAGAAAAGCTGGGCCAGGTGTGTATTTTAAGGATACAGTGAGAACTTTTCTCCCCTCCACTGTTCCAGTGCCCAGAGCAGCACCAGTCATGGAGTAGGCTCTCCCTGCAAACTTACTGTGTGAGTAAGTGTTTGTAAGGAGTCTTGAAGGGCATGAGATATCCTTTACCACCTTTTCCTCCCCCAGTTCCAGGCTCCCCTTGCTTCTTAAATTCTTTTCTTTTCCTTTTTTTTTGAGGAAGATTAGCCCTGAGCTAACTGCTGCCAATCCTCCTCTTTTTCACTGAGGAGGACTGGCTCTGCGCTAACATCCATGCCCATCTTCCTCTACTTTATACATGGGATGCCTACAGCGTGGCTTGCCAAGCAGTGCCATGTCCGCACCCAGGATCCGAACCGGCGAACCCTGGGCCACCGAAGCGGAACGTGTGCACTTAACTGCCACTGGGCCAGCCCCTCCCCTTGCTTCTTTTCTCAGGCTAAGTGTTACTGGAGAAAACGGCAATACCTGATTAATGAGTTCTATTCCAAGATTTTGCCAACCAGTTTTCCCTAGACCTTTCCAGCAGCCTTTTTACTTATCTCTAATCCTACAGTGCTTGTTGAAATCTTTTCCTCAAGTTCCACAACTGATCTGGATCACTCTCACTTTTCCAGAGCATCTACTCGAATACTGAAGCTAACTGTGAACTTACCTTCAGAAGCTTTCTTTCTAAATCTAAATTTTCTGCGTTGTCATCTTCCCCTTTTCTGCATATGGGAGGAGTTCCTTCTCTTCAGGGCCAAATCCTCCACCGTCCCACTGACCCCCCACCCTCCCCGCCAGCGCTGTTGCCCGTTGCTCTAAGACTGCTCATCATCTCCTCTCACTTCATGTTATCTTCCTACTCAGCTGGTCAATACAAAGTCGGGGTTTGTTTGGATGTGGTGGAAGGGTTTCTTTTGGCAAGATTTCTTTGATACAAAGTGCTTGCAGCTACTCTCCCTTCCCTCTTGTATCCTTCAGGCTTTGAGCCTGAACTCTTAGAAGACATCTACTTTGCTTCTGCTAAGCCAGGTTTGTTTTGCCTCCTCTCTTCCGACGTCACAGTTTGACTCACTGTTTATTATCCTTTGTCTTTTACAAAACCCTGGCAGTTTTGTTGACTTTTCCCCATCATCCTTTGTGATTTAAGCTAAGATAGGGTTTTCTTTTTTTTGGTATCAAACTCTTGCATGCTTTGGTGAAGAGGAGCTAAACAAGCTTTTAAGCAACCAAGGAGTTTGTTCAAAATTGTGTTAAAATGAGACTTTCTGGATGGAACAAATAACAATTCCAAAACCACACATATATTTAGTAAGCTATTTGAAATTCACAGACATTTCTGCTCCTCACACATTCTCTTGAGTTCTCAGTGTCAGACAACTAGAATGTCAACCCCCTCTACTAGTATACTGGCGACCATAAAAATTCTTGTCCATTTTAAAGTCATTGGGTTTGATTGTGAACAGCCTGACATCCTTTGTATGCACTGTTGATTGAGTTAATTTTCAACAACTGTTGTTTCCAGTAATCCTATTTTTTACAATGTAAATGATCATATGATAAATTTTCCATTTCGTAAATGATGAAAATCCCTTTCAGGAAATCTAAAGAGTCACGCTGATAGGAAAGCCATGTAAAGGAAAGTACGGGCTGTGGAAGAAACACCAAAGGGATCAGAGATCACCCTCCCAAACTGAGTTGGTCCTGGAACGCACTCCTTCCCAGAGTGGTGGCAAAAGGAAATGTTTGACGTAGTACAGGGAGATAAAAAGTAGTAGGTTGCTTCTGACCGTCAGAGTAATAGATAGAAATGCAGAGAGGAGGGAGACAGGTCTGAGCGCCCGCCAGCGGGAGGGAGGCTGAGGGAGCTGAGGAAGCCTGGCAGGCTTTTTAGTAAAGCCAAACTTTGTCAGCAGTTATGGAGAGAGGATAATTCCCCCGCGCACGAGTTATCTTTGAGGATTTGGGGAGCATTTAACTCCTCTAAATGCAATTGCTAATTGCGAGAAGCTGCTCTGGAGGGTCATCCTAGGATTGAGAGTTTGAGTGCTGCTGTTTTGCTCCCTACGTCCACTTGCACCTTGGCATTGACCAAGTTTACCCCTCTTGGTTACTCAGATCTTCTGTGCAAATGTTTCAGAAACGCCTTATGTCATAAATCACTCCTCAAACATAAATTATTTGCTAGCAAATTGCAAATCTTAATCTTGCTTTTCAAAATACTGGTTGTTCTCAGAGGGAAGCATCCTACATGAAAATTGTCCATGTGCATACCATTTGCTTGGGTAGGAAAACTCAGTTTCATATAGGTGACATTTCCCCTTACATTAAATTATAAATTTAATATGACTGCAACAATACTCTCAGGTTTTTTTCTGGAGCTAGATAAAGTGATTATAAGGTTTATTTAGATGAATAAATGAGCAATAACAGCCAGACAAATCCCCCCAAAAGGAAAATGATGGCTAGTTCTACCAGATAAGAAAACATACTATAAAGCTTCCACAATTAAAAACAGGATGGTATTGGCACATGAAGAGACAGGCTAATGAAACACAGTACAGATATCCAGAAATAGATAAAAGTGTTTGGATATTTAGTGTATGATAAAGATGGCATCTCAGATCATTAGGTGAAAAGAAGGGCTATCTAATAAATGGTGTATGGACAACTAGATATCCATTATCTTTTGATAAAATTGGATCCGTCTCTTACACCTTACACTGGTTTGGCTGAATTCCAAATGACAGAAATATAAATGTAAAAGCACCTGAAACCTACAAGTATCAGGGAAAAAAAATGAATGAATTCCTTTACCAACTGAGAATAGGGAAAACTTTCCTGTATAGTTCAATCTGAAAGCAGTCAGAGAAAAGCCTGATAAATTTATTTATTTACTTGTTTATTTTTTGCTAAGAAAGATTCTCCCTGAGCTAACATCTGTTGCCAGTCTTCCTCTGGTTTTGTTTTTTTTCTGTTTGTTTGAGGAAGATTAGCCCTGAGCTAACAGCTGTGCCAGCCTTCCTCTACTCTGTATGTGGGTTGCTACCACAGCATGGCTGACAAGTGGTGTAGGTCTGCACCCAGGATCCAAACCTGAGAACCTGGACTGCCGAAGTGAAATGTGCCAGACTTAACCACAACACCGTGGGGCCTGCCCCAATTTTTCTTTTTTTCTTTTTTTTTTTTTAGTGAGGAAGATTAGCCCTGAGCTAACATCCGTTGCCAATCATACTCTTTTTGCTTGAGGAAGATTGTCACTGAGCTAACATCTGTGCCAGTCTTCCCCTATTTTATATATGAGCTGCTGCCACTGCATGGCTTGATGAGTGGTGTGCATGTCCATGCCCAGGATCTGAACCCACAAACCCCAGGCTGCTGAAGCAGAGCACACGAACTTAACCACTACACCACCGGGCCAGCCCTGATAAATTTAAACATGCTTTAAAAAAAACACAAAAACCTTGCATAGCTCAAAACAAATGAGGAAAGTACAATGATAAATGACAAGATGGGGAAAAATATTTGCAACTTAAATCATAAATAGAAAGCTAATATTCATAATACATAGTTTCTAAAAATTAAGGAAAAGACCAATGGTCCTATGGAAAAATGAATAAAAGATAGGAACACTTTACAGAAAAGTAAATGCCAGAGGCCCTTGGACCAATGAAACAATACTCAGCCTTGCTCATAAAAAGACAGATGCACACTAAACTCTACACTGAGATACTGTTTCTCACCTGTTCGACATAGGCATTCTCATATGTTGTGGTAGAAATGCAAAATGGAACAGTCCTTGTGGCTACAAATTTGATAGTGTCCAACAAAATTAATATGCATTTACTCTTTGACTTGGCAACCTTGATTTTAGGAAACCTTCCCAGAGACCAGCCCAAGACTGTTAATTGCAGCATTATTTATAATTCTAGGAAGTTAGAAACGACCCAGATGTCCCCAGCAGGAAGTTGTGGTGTATCCATACATGAAATACAATGCGCTATGAAAGTAAATGAAGGAGTTCTCTGTGCATTCTGTGGAGGGGTTTGAGTGATGTATTATCGTATGAAAAGAGCAACCACAAACTTTTATAGTGTGCTGTCTTTTGTGTAATACAGGGGAGAACTATGAAAAAAAAATAGGTATATATAGACACATTTATTTTCATAAAGAGAAACCATGGAAGAATAAATTATAAACTAATTTTTAAAAACTGGTTAACTTTAAGAGGAAGGGACAGTGTGAAATAGACAGGGATGGAAGCCAGAATTCTCTGAATGTACCTGTTTTATAGTATTTACTTCAAAATCCTGTATATGTTTTACTTAATTAAAAAATTAAAAATAAAAATACAAATGCAATCTCTTGAACTAAAGAAACAAAAAAGGGAGAGAGGAAGGAAGGAAGGAATCTAACTATCACACAGAGGAAGTTATTTGAAGTGATTGTGAAACATATTTTGCCTGTGAGCTCTGGTGGGACGTATCCTGGGAACAAAACAGCCCCAGAGAGATCGTAACTGCACTCTATTGTTAGGGACTGTATGGGCATTGTTATTCTGAACTATTCATATGTATGTATGTTTACACACTTAAGTATGTACATGCCACATACTGCACATCCAAGGTAAAGAAAATAAGCAATTATATTTACACTATTAGATAGCAGGATTTTCAGCATAAAAGAGATACAAATATGAAACCAGAGAAGTTAAAAATTGTCAATGTAAAGTTTGAGTTGGAGATAGCAGTATGAATTCATGATTGGTAATTTTTCCTTCCAGAAAGTACATATTTCCTGGCTTTGTTCACTGAAAAAGACTAAAACACTGAGCCCTTGTAGCATCCAAATTGTGTTTTTTTAATACTAAAACCAGGGTTTTAAGGAAGCAGGGTTCTTTGGAGAAATGGCTGGTTCTAGGTGGGGCAGAAAATAGGGAGGATGAAGTGTGGACATATAGATGTGCACGAACATTGCCAAAGACTCCCAGGAGCCATGTCACAAGGACACATGTGCTGACTCGAAGGGTTGTCCACTGGCCAAGGAGGGGATGGTTTTAGGATGAAAAAGAAAAATGATTAAACACATTAAATTCATAAAAGAGTCAGTTGATAGGGGAATCAAGGATGAAATGGTTAGACTTCTGCTCTGTGAGTAGGACATGAGTCCTGCAGTGGAGGGAACGTAGAGATTGCCTAGAGAAGGAGACGCGTGGACTGGCCTTGAGGAAGGGTGGGTAA